CAAAAAAAGCAAACATGATTCTGGGATGCATTAACAGGTGTGTTGTGAGCAAGACACGAGAAGTCATTCTTCCGCTCTACTCTGCCCTGGTTAGACCTTAGTTGGAGTATTGTGTCCAGTTCTGGACACCGCATTTCAAGAAAGATGTGGAGAAACTGGAGAGGGTCCAGAGAAGAGCAACAAGAATGATTAAAGGTCTAGAGAACATGACCTATGAAGGAAGGTTGAAAGAACTGGGGTTGTTTAGTTTGGAAAAGAGAAGACTGAGGAGGGACATGATAGCCGTTTTCAGGTATCTAAAAGGGTGTCATGAGGAGGGAGAAAACTTGTTTATCTTGGCCTCTGAGGATAGAACAAGAAGCAATGGGCTTAAACTGCAGCAAGGGAGGTTTAGGTTGGACGTTAGGAAAAAGTTCCTGTCAGGGTGGTTAAACACTGGAATAAATTGCCCAGGGGGGTTGTGGAATCTCCATCTCTGGAGATATTTAAGAGTAGGTTAGATAAATATCTATCAGGGATAGTCTAGACAGTACTTGGTCCTGCCATCAGGGCAGGGGACTGGACTCTATGACCTCTCGAGGTCCCTTCCAGTCCTAGTAGTCTATAAAAAACCTTAAAGGGGTGGTAGCCCTGCTACTCTGTAACTAAAAGAACCAATGAATGGTCCTGTAGCACCTTAGAGACTAACCAAAAATACAGATAGTATCATGAGCTTTCATGGGCACAACCCACACTTGAAGAAGTGGGTTGTGCCCATGAAAGCTCATGATACTATTTGGTTAGTCTCTAAGGTGCTACAGGACCATTTGTTGTTTTTTAAGTTTTTTTAATCAAAAACCTTGACGATCATAATCATAATGTCTCTTGCCATAAGTCAGTTTCACAGCAAGTACTTACTGGACAGTAGCCCGGCCCACCAAAGCCACTCCCTCAGGTATGCATGACCTCCTTGTCCTGTGAAAGAAAACAAGAGCAACGACAAATCCAGGGTGAAGTTCCAATGGCCCAAGCTACTCAAGTAATTCAGGATCTCTTATTAATAAAGAAAGGAATGACTTTTTCTCTGAGGGCTGGGACAATCCTCCAGCTCTCCTCCTCCTCTGTAAAGGAAGTCAATTTCCAGATAATAACACCTTTTAAAAATAATGTGATGCTGATGAAGAGTGCTGGCTAGCAATTCCTGGGGACAAAGTCCAATTTATCCTCAAGAGTAAGTACAGCACATGCCTCCTCCACTCTGTCTCTCTACGTGTCCAACTATGTCAGGACCACAGCTCCTACCTAAGGAGATAGTTTGATCTTTATTACATCTCTGGTGAAGATATCATCAAGAGTAGCAGCTGTAGTAACTGTTTTATGAAACAAATACTTGCCTACTAAGAACTGGACTCAGATTACGAAACTCACATGATTCACCATTAAGCAGTTGTCAGATAGTAACGACTCTGGGTTACTGATCTGAGTCTGACTTGGAGCTGAAATACTTCATGAAACACCCCGTTTTCCTCTGCCCAGGTTTGGTATTTCTATTTATCTTCCCTGTTCATCTGAACTCTTGTCATTTTCCCCAAACCTCTACAATTTTTGATTGCTGCATTTCTCCTGCTCTCTGCTTACAATACTGTGCAATATTAGACCACAACTGGTTACAAGATCCACTACAGCACTCTTTTTTTTTTCACCTACATTAAAAGCTCCAACATCAAGAAAATGATGTGTTCCTTTTGGCTGATCCTAAAGCAGAAGTGGGGCAAATCTGGCCTGTGGCCAGGTTCAGCCCACCAAGCCTTTTAATCTGGCCCACATGCATCTGCAGCATGGAGCAGCGCTGCTCAAAGTGGCTAGCTGCTTTCTGTGGCTGTCTGCGCTGTGGGGGGAGAGAGGGAGGCTTCATGTACTGCCCCCTCTCCCAGCAAAATATCTCAGCTCCTATTGGACAAAAACTGCAGTATCGGGCATCCCCTCTATAAGTCGCCCTGGTATACAACAGTTCCACACTAACGTCGTTGATGCTTACAGGAACTGATGCGTTATAAGTCCTCCCATTCCCCACTCTTATGTTGTGCAAAAACCCCATTTTCACAAATTGGTGGGAAGTCAGCTGTGGGAAAAAAATCCTCGCTTTACATCGTTTCGCTATACGTCCGTGTTTTTTGGAACGTATCTTGGATGTATAGCAGGGACGCCCTGTATTAAAGCCAGAAATGTTTTCACATCATCTAGCTGAATGATAATTGAAGCTTTTTGAAATTCAGACTTTCCAAGTGTGTAGAGAGCCCCTACAAACTTTTATTGTTCTATTGCCTTTGGGCGGGGAAGGGGCAGACGGGAACACAACTTCTTACAGCCAACTGTAGCAATAAAGATGGGAAGTACCTGCCCTAATGGAGCCTCTGCTGGCCAACTTGAGAAGCCCTTTCTTCTTTAGGATAAAACTTCCTCCGATGAAAATACTCGAAGATAGAGCCAGGCCTAGTCCAATGTAGAAGTCATAGCGCCCTGATACACCTTCCATTACAGCCTCCTGTATGAGGAAGGAAGAACACCAAAATTCATAGTGAGGAGAGGGCTGGGAATGTCTGCCACAGAAATCTAAGGCAGTGGTCGCCAACCTTTTTAACCACAAGATCACTTTTTTCAATTTAAGTGTAATGTAAACTCTACCTCAAACCCAAATGCCCTTGCCCCGCATTCTTCCCACCCCCTCTGAGGGCCCGCCACTGCTCCACCCATCCCCCTTCCTCCCTGAATCGCATTCACTTGCACCAGGCTGGGGTTGGGGTGCAGGCTCTCATCTTAGGCCAAGAGGTTCAGAGTGTGGGAGGGGCTTCGCCCAGGGTGGAGGATTGGGATCCAGGATGGGTTTTAGGGTACAAGCTCTGGGAAGGAGTTTGGGTGCAGAGGGACTCATGTCTGGGGCAGGAGGTTGGGTGCAGGAGAGGTTCAGGGCTGGGACAGGGGTTCAGGAAGCAGGCTCTGGTTGGGCACCACCTAACTGAGATGGTTTCCGAGTGATGGAGCAGTGGGGTTAAAGCAGGCTTACTCCTGCCCTGGCCCTGCACCACTCCTGAAAGCAGCTGGCATATACAGCAGTGACTCCATGGTGCCATGTGCTGCCCCTCATCTACAGGCACTGAGCCCACAGCTTCTGCTAGCCTTGGTTCCCTGTTATTGATCAATGGGAACTGCAGGAGTGGTGTCTGCAGGCAAGGACAGCATGTGGAGACCCCCTGCTTTGCCTTTTCTCAGGGATTGCAGGGACATGCCAGTCACATCCAGAAGCAGCAATTACCATAGGATTAATTACTCCAGCCATGACAGGTTAGGCATTTTAGAACTCACTACCCAAAAAGTTAAATGTAAGCATAAGAGAGAAATGAAAATTATGAAATGCACATACCAGTCACAAGCCCAAAAGAACCTACTTTGCAAGCAGTAAAAGAAGTAACAACAATCCCTCACGTGTGTTGGGGTTGGGAGATGAGCGTGAAGGACAATGTTTGTGAGTGTATGAGAGTAACAGAAATGTGCATTGCCAAGCTCCCTCCTTCCCCATCTCTCTGTGTGGAGATAAGGTACAGGAGTAGAGGGGGGAGAATGATACCCAGACATCAGTGACCCCTTCTTCTCCCTCTCACACCCTGCACAGCAAACAGGAGGCTCCCAGTGGGGCAGCTCCAAGGCCGAGGGCAGGAGTAGATGACAGTGGGGGCAGGAGCAACAGAAGTGCCAGCACTTGATAGCTTCCTGGCCAAACCAGTCAGAGGCTCCAAGATCAACTGGTTGGTGATCACAGATCTAAGGATAGCCCCAGATGCAGGGTGTTCTCCTGGAACATGACCAATTGTTTTATGTAAAACTACTACTTTGTAAGGGATCTAGTGGGAGTCTTTTCTTGATCTCCACTCCTGCATGTGGTAGGGTCATTGACATTTCCAGCTCCTAATGCAGTATCTCTCAAACTGGGGGTCCAGACCCAAAAGGGGAGGTAAGATCACCTTTTTCTTTGATTTCAGAGTTGGGCAGCTGCAGAGTGCTGGCTGCTGGTCAGGCACCCAGCGCTCAAGGCAGCAACACCGAAAGCAGCAGTGCGGAAGTAAGGATGGCATGCTTATAGATACGGTTACTTAGCAGGGATCTGCCATGGTGCTGCAGGTGCTACGTTCGGTAGCAAAAGTGTGGGAGGGAGGTTGTCACAATCTAAAATATTTTCAGAAAAAGTTTGGGAACCTCTGTGTTAATGGATACTACAGAGGATAGGGGATTCAGATTTTGCTTCTCAGGAGACAGTGGTACCAATAGTGTCTCAGTAACAATCATAAACCTGAGCGCAACCCAAGAATGCGCAAGCATCTGGAACTGACTTTGCAGCTCCTGCTTGACCAAATCGCTGGCTGAAACTCCTAAAGGCCAAGTGCAACTGAGCCCCAAGTGCTGCTCTCCGCATCCTGCCCAACAAGCCCCAATCCCCACATGTTGAATGCTGAGCCTGGGGTGTCACAGGGACTGGGGGGACCACAGGCAACGCTGCACATTAAGGATGTAATAGTGTAGTTAATTAACAGATTAACTGTTAAGCAAAAGCTTGTAGGTTAATGCCATAGACTATATGCATTTCTCCTTCTCCCCAAGTAAATTTTTTAGCAGGCTGTCAGCAACCTGGCTCAGTCTTGGATTGTGATGGGCCAGGACCTACCCCTACTGTGGCTCTACATTTAAAGTGTATTAGAAGCTAGGCTGTCAGGCAGCCCAGTTCAATTCTGGCTTATGCCGGGTCCAGGAGCACAGACACAGCCCCCAGTGCCAGTGTTAGCAAAGCTTTTGATACGGTCACCCACAATATTCTTGCCAGCAAGTTAAGGGAATATGGATTGGATAAATGGACTGTAAAGTGATAGAAAGCTGGCTAGATCAGGGTTTCTCACAGACCAGCTGTTGCCTGGCACCCGGTAAGTGGGGCCAGAGCGCACTGGCTGCTGGCCCGAGGTA